CGTGCCAAAGTAGAAAAATTTTTTTACTACTTGGAAACAAGCGATTTCAGAATGAAAGCTAGCCAAGAAAGTGAATTAGTGATCTTAGGCTTTCAAGTAATATTTCATTAAGAATTTGATATGTGAAATACAATATATGAAATTTGTAATACTCAGGATAACCTTCTGAAGGCATTCGGGCTTTATATGCTAAAAAGCCCATTTCTATACTACTAAAGTTCAAATTTTTTCTATAAAAATAAAAAAAGACGAGTAAATTTCTAGGTGAAAAAGATTAAAAAAAGATTTGAAAAAAATAGTATTAAAATGGCTTTCAGAAACATTTCATTTTGTATCTTAAAAATATTTTACATTATGAAGTATAATGGAAATTCATACATAAATAAAAATCATATTCATCACATTATAAATTTAAAATTTAAAATTTAAAAACTGTTATTTTAATTTTTATTTTCAAAATATTTTTTTCGATTAAAAGATTAGCAATACTGAGGAATCAGATTTATTAACACTATCGCTACATTTTATATAATCCACTCATTATTTAATTTTAAAATAATCAATTTATAAAAACTTTTTTAAATATAAATTCATATTATCTGTAACTTATTATTAAATGTACTCATAAACCCAATTTTAAATTACGCAAAAACGGTCAAAGAAATGAGACTTGTTTACTAAGGAAAAAAGATTTGCATAGGTCTGATTAATATAACCTTTTTGGTTTTATGGATGTACAAGATAAACATAAAATGCACTTTACCGATCATTAACAAAATTATTTCTATCACTCACGTAGATTGCGAATTAACATATTTATTAAAAATAAAATTCAGTAAAGCATTACCAAATTCTTTCATTATCTCAAATAGTAAATCAAATTAAAAAAAGAATACAACTTTTTTATAAATTAAAAACTTTATGAATTTTATTATTAATAAAAAAAAGTCCATGATAATAATACGCCTAGGGATGAGAATGGTTCAAATAGAGCGACTTCAAGTCAGTTCTGAAACTGATTATAAATTTAACATATTCTGGGTTTCCCTGAATTACAACCATTTTTAACCAATTTTAAAAATTGAACTGGAACTGACTCTGGACCGATTTCAAGAGTCAGCTCAAAATCAGATTGTAATCAAATTAAAGGTAATAATTGAACAAATTTGTTTGATAACTGATCAAAAAATTTTTTTAAATTGATTATTACATGATGCTTGCTCTATCAGTATAAATTTAACTTAATGCTCAAAGTTTAATTTACTTAAGAAGAGTCGAAGTAGAACCGAAAAGAAGTTAAAATGGAACTGATAGAACTGTTCCTATTCCTAGATGTATCACATAAATTTTATAAATTTTAAAATGTCATTAGAATAATCTAAGTTGTAAATGGTCATTAAAATCCCTAATTTCAGGTTTCTTTTTAGATTAATTTAATAGTAAGTTTATTCTTCTGGGTTAATTATTTATTAAATTTAAAATATAGAAATAATTCAATAATATTTATAAAAAAAAATAAAATAAAATAAAATAAATAAAAATAAAAATAAAAATATGAATTAATTAAATCATTTCAAGAGAAAAATATATATATTTATATTATTTAAATAAGAAATTCACTACATATTTTAATTTAATTGAAACCAAAGTTTTGAGTAGTGGAAATACTCCTAATCCAAATTATCCTTTTTCTTTTAACCTTACTATGCATTATTGTAAAAATAATTATAACATAGATAACAACACCGCAATAACTAGCAAAGATGATAAAATAATTTGAATTGTCTCTACGCTTATTCTGATAAAATGTATGACTTAAAATTATCTTTAATTTTGAATATGATGGGGCTCGATGGCCATTTCGGAAACAAAATCCTGCTGCTTTATCTTTAACTGCAATAGTAGATAATGCTTTTACTTTTTATCAGAACTATTACCTAGGATTAAAATATTCTTTTATTAACATTTCTGCAAATATTTATAATCACCTAACTGATTTTAGTTCATTCTATAATCATGCATCAGATGACTCAATTTCTTATGATATAACTGGCACACTACATACAATTATTCACTGATCATTTTAGTTTAAATTTACTCAAAGTAGGAACAATCTTTGTTGTCTCAGTTTCTGGTATGTGTATAGTGTTATTAAGTATATGATATATTTTTAATAAAATATATATATTCTTATTTTTTTTTTTTTTTATAGAACAACCAATTTTTCTTGATAAAAATGGAAAAAAATTACAACGAACTGTATATTTAACAGAATTTTACTACAAAGTGCCTTTTGATGCCACTAGTATAATGAAAAATACTTTTAAAAATTTTGGTTCAAATAAAGATTCATATTTAAAAACTATTATTAATAAATTACCCAATATAGTGAATGGAAATATTGATGTATTCACACTTTCAACTTATTGGCTTGTAGCACCTTTTTATATGCTCATTAAATTAGATAAATTTGATAGTGTAGATGTTATGAACTTTGCATAACCTACTTTTAATGCAGCATTGACAAGCATCATTCTTAATCATTATAGCTTTATCTATTGTAAACACTTAGATACAAATCTCTATAATACATGTTACTCAGCAGAAGGAGTTGCTACTCCAGTTGGAGCTAGTTGTATGATTATTGGTAGATATAACTGTGGTCAATTAATACATAACAACAATTGTGTATTTGATTGTAAAGATTCTGATTTGTAGTTTTTTGTAAAAAAAAAAGGATGCAATTGCTAATGCTAAATAACAACCTATAAGATTTACATGTGATAAATCACAAGGATAACATCCTGTGAATGAGTCACGTGGAGGACATTTATCAAAATGAGCGAGGAAAGATTTCAGAAAAATATATGAATAACTTCAAAACTACCATTCTGAATTTGTTTTAGGTCTTTGATTATATTAATCATCTCAAATCTATGTCACATTTTTCCAGTGCCAGAACTACCTGAGATACTGATTCCTTAATAATCATTTAGACGAGAACTTCCATTCTCAAAGGCTTCTAAATTAGTTTCTATTTTGTCTTGAATGAACTTTTGTATATGCGTTCTTTCAATATATTTATACATAGTTATTACAGATTTGTCTATATTTCCCATTATCCAATCAGTTTTGACAATTCTTTTCATAGTAAGGGGTTCCTCTATTGAGAATAAATAGTGGTAGGTTAAGATATAATCTACAGATAATACTCAAGTAATTCAATTATAAGATACCATACCTTCTATAACACTTCTGCCTTAACGCGAAAAAAAGAGATCAGACCAAACTTGATATTTTGTTACTGCAAGTTTCTTTGATCGAGAAATAAAACACTTACCAGTAGTGAGGGCTACAATGACAGGACTATGAATATATGAAGATAGTCTTCTTTAGGCTTTTTGTATTTTTCGTCAAAATATTTATTAAGTTTACGTTCAGGATTCATTATCGTACCAATAACTCTAATCTTATCTTTGATATAAGTATTATCTTCAAGGCTATCAAGTTACAGTTCGACTTTCCAAATATTTAGTTTAGTTATTTTAGCTTCTTTAATTTCATCTATGCGAAAAATTGATCTTTTAAGTTTGCAACTGCCATATCAATAAATTTGTTCTTGATATTTTCTTTGTTGATGAAAAATTCACCAATAGATACATTAAAAATATCTTTAGGAGTTTGTCCTGAAATCAAGCAATTAAGTGAGAATATCATCTTGTTTCTGTAAAGCAATAAGTTTTTAGAAAAGTTTCAAGAAATTTTGAGAAAGTTTGAGATAAATCTATGATCTAAGATTTATATATACTTTTCTGAATACATTGTGATTGATAGACTCTTGTATAACTATTGGTGGCTTATGACGTAATATAACAAAAAAATTAATAAGCATAGTAAAAAAAAAATAATTTATCAATAATGATTAATACGGTTTTATCATTATTTGATTTTTGATTCTCCTATGAATTTTTGGTATTTATTAAAAAAGATGAATAATCTTACGTAATTTTTATGTTATAACAAGTAATAATATGACTAATCAGTATTACTTTTTTTTAAATAAACTAACCACGCTGCATTAGGATCATATTACAAAAGCATCCTAGTAATTTATTAAGTTCAACTACAAGAATTAAAAAAAGCCATTCTAACAACCTGCGGTCACAAAACTGAAGGATAAAACTGACATAAGACCAGATCACTTTCCTAAGAAAAGACTTTTTGTGATTACCAGGCATCAAATTACTGTATGCTAATATTAGCTTTCTTGTATTATTTTTTTAACCTGAATATATTTTATTATATACGGGAGTGTCATAAACTATAAAGCTTAGCTGTTGGTAAATGATCATATGTGGTAAAGTTAAAATTGATTCAAAGCCAAAAAAGAAAAATCGATTACAGTGCAATGTTTCATATTGTTCACATTTTTTATATAAAAGGATTATATTTATTTTTTTCTAATATATGATTACATAATTTTTCATAATTGCATTTTAGTTTAATATATTAACATTGCAAAAGTATAGAGTAATGATGTTTAAAGCTACACTAATTAAATTGATTTTATTAAATAAATTTAGAGTTAAAATTACTTCATTTTTATTCTATAAAAAACCTTCTGCGCAGCTTTGTAAATAGACTCCAATTTTTCATTTAAGAAACATTAGAAAAATTCAGTCTAAAAATAAAAATGAAATATAATTCATTTAATAATGAATTGCAATTTTTGATTTGTAAAATATTCACATTCAATATAAAACGATGATAAATTATTTAAATAATTTTAAAGTAAAATAAAAACATATATCAAAATTTGTAAAGTACAAAAAGAAAAAAAAGCTTCTATCGACTCACTTTTAAAAAACCTCATTTTGAATTTCTGAGTATATGTCACAAGCCACAATATTGCACTGAATTTTTCATGATTGAATTTAATACATATATTATATTTTACAACCATAACGTATTCTTAGCATATTGTAATGAATAATTTTGTCAATGCAATGTCTGTTTTATTGCGACAAATTTTCCTTTGTTTCACTCAGGATAATAAATTGTGAGTTAGGTTACATAAATCACTTAATAAGACATAGAAATAATTATTGTTTGGGTCATGCTAATCATGTTATATTTATATATTTCTTTTTTGAAATTTTTCTCTTACGTGAAATTTATAATTGTGATTTAATTTGATTTATTTTAATTTATTTTTTTTTAAAAAAATCTATCATTTTGACATTTTGTGATATAACATATGAGTTATTTTAAAGTAGTATGGGCTACTTTAAAAATTTTTAAATTTTTCAGAAAAGTAATCTATAAAGAATTTGCTATATTCGATAAGGATAGATAAATGCGTCTAGCATTTTTAAAAAAAATTCTTTCATAATATTTATGTTAATCCAACTGCTTTGGCAATCAGATTTAACATTCCTCTAGACGAAATCCCATATGACCTCTATTGTGACATTTTTTTAGGGAACTGTAATTTTCATATTCTTTTCAATTTAACATTTTATAATATCTATATTTTGACAACTCCAAATTCAGAATCACGAAGGATCAATTATTCGTTATCTGCAAAATTGTTTTTGAAGACGTTTAAAAATTATATTTTGTCATACGTGCGGTAATATGAGCATTTATTATAGCAAGTATTATTTACAATGATTAGTCGTACCATTACATCATAGAATTCAATTTTCTTTCTATTCTTTTCAATTTTATAAACTTCTTTACTTTTAATATTAGTTGATAAATAGAAGATACAATAAAAAAACCCATTGACACTTTACTAGATGTAAACCTTTTATTGTAATTTAAAAAAAATATTTATAAAATTAAATCAAATACTTGATTGCAAAATATTTACTGAACTTTTATTTAGAGCATGCGTGTACTATTGACTTTTCCAATTATAATTTAAATTTAAATTTTTTTTTTTTAAAAAAAAAACAAAAAGGATGAAACGTTTACATAATTCAAAATGTACTAAAACACGTCCAAATAATCATTAAAACATTAGATATTATCAGTGATCATAAATTTATTTTTATTACAATCTAAATCAGAGAGATATTTTGTAAAATTATTCTGATTTGAATACAAATAAACTCTGCCAATTTGCTGCCGAAAGTAAATATCAAAATCTATGAGTAAAAAAAGTTCATTGATAACCTTTTTTAATTCGATGCTTTATATTATTGTTTGATAAAATAAAAATTATGGAAATCTATAGATATGAATGAGAAAATTCTTATTGGTTGATGATATTTGCACTAATAAACCATTACAGGGATAAAGTTTTGATTATCTAACTTACGTATTAAATCCTGTTATTAATACACCATCAATAGTTGCTATAACTTTATCATGAAATTATCTAAAAAATTAATCAGTTTTATCAAAAATTAGCATTAAACTAAGTTTAGAGAACATAAATATTAATTATTGTTCGAAAGAGCATCTAAAATATTAAAACCTTAACCCCCTAAAATTTCAAGCATGTTAAATTACCAAGTTATTGCTATAACTTTAAAACTAAAACATTCTCTCATTACAATTATTTCTAAATTAAATATCCTATATTCAAATGCTAAAGAATTATTATATTTTTAGTGATTGATGGTAATGCTGATGATAAATTACAGTAGCTATTAAAAGTATTGCATCACCTGAATATAAAATTTAAAATGAAAATATCTTGTAATTTAAAAGGCATAGTGTTACAAAACTTAAATATTGAGTTTGTCATACTTTAATCTTTATCAATCTCTTTTATCTTTTTTTTAAGAATATTTTTTTTTTTTGTTATGAATCTTTCACCAAAGAGGCAATGCATTTCTTTTGATCGATTTAAGAAATAAATATTAACACTTATTACATGATTTTTTTGCTTTAAAATAACTATACGACACATATAAAAAAGATGCCTATGGCATTTTTCGCCTCTTTGTAATTTTATAAAATATCTATGATTTATCTTTCTATTGAAAAAAGAGCTAGGATTTGTGCTTTATTTGATGAAGGTTTTCTCTCCCGCTATATAGTAGACAAGGAAAATGTTTCTCAATCAACTGATATAAGAATCAAGCAACATAAAGATAAAACTGGTAACAATAAAAACCAATCTAAATTTGGGTGTCTGCAACTATTAACTGGTTGATATGAACGAAAAATTTTGAGATTAATTATAACAGATGAATGTAGTAATGCTATTGCAATTCAAAAAAATTAAAAATAGAAGAACAAATTGAAGTTAGTAAATGTACAGTAAAGAGAACCTTATATAGAAATAGAATGAGTACAAGGGTTAAGTGCAAAAAACTATATCTTTGAAAAACACATAGAATCGCAAGGATAAAATTTATAAAAAGATACAAGTCATGAATAGTTAAAGATTAGAGTAAAGTGATTTGGTCAAATGAGTCAAAATTTATAATTTATGGATCAGATGGTAGAAAGTATTGTTAGAAAAAGCCAGAAGAACTATTATGCAATCATCATGTTAAACTAACAGTCAAATTTGGATGAGGTAATATTATGGTGTGGGAATATTTTACATCTGATGGAGTTGGTAACATATGCTGAATTTATGAAAATATGAATGGTGATTTATATCGCCAAATTTTAAAGGAAGACCTATTGGAATCTATCACGTGATATAAAATAAATAAAAAAAATATTATTTTTCAATAGGATAATGATCCTAAACATACTGCATATCTTACAAAGTAATAGTTTGAAGATAATGGAGTTAAAGTTCTTGATTAGCTAGCATAATCCTAACTTAAATCCTATAGAACACCTTTAAAATAAAATGGATCATCATCTGAGATAGCTTGGAATACCTGTTAGAACACAGGATCAGTTATGGGATACAATTCAAAAAATTTGGGTTGAATTAGGGTCTGATATATGCAAAAAGTTGATTGATATTATATCAACTTATATAAATAATGTAATTAGAGCTAATAGTAGCTATATAAAATGGTAAATAATTATTTACCAAAATTTTTAATATAGTTGGTTAGATTTTTAATTTTATTTTATATACTTAAAAAATTTAATAAAAAATGATCAAAAGAAAAGGATCATCTAATTGTTCAAAAATAAATATTTTTTAAAAATTTATCTCATTACTATAAAATGATTTTCATATATTGAATAGACTTGGTTATGATAAGTCTAATAAATAATTTATATGATACTACGCTGTCTTAATCACAAGAAAATG